TTTACTTATTGACTGTTACACAATGCCCGGAGGGAAAGGAAATGGTCACAAGGTATAAACAAAAAATAGAAAACAATATGCTAAATAACAAAATACAATCACTAAATAAATACAAAATAAATTATATAAATAATACAAGACCTCTCCCGCTAAAATATACGTGTAGTAGCATAACCGAGACCCCTCCCTCTAAAATAATGTAAAGTGTAGGTTTCCTCACCTACGCAGTCGATTTCAAATACAGTCTCACCAAGTTGTAAACACTTATCATCGTTCGCCGGATTACCAGGTGGATTGGGTGTGATAACTACACACATGTGTGTATAGTTCTCACAGTTCTCCTCAAATTATGTTCCATCATCGCATCCACTGTTTGAAATATCATTGTTAAAGCGGGAGTGTAGTCAGCGTACGTATACAACGCGTGTAAAATACATTGTTTATTTACTTGAAATTTGAACACGCGCATTGCGACGACCACCGCGCTTTCATCTTGTGCAATGCTTTATTTTACAAAGCCATCACTAAAGCTTGGATCAAACTAATTATGACTTGTACATATGCTTCGACCCATGTGTGGTGTTAAGGCAGAACTTCGCTTGTAGGATATGTGTTATGGTGGGTTCAAGTTATATCAAGTGTAATTGTCGAACCGCTCCCATGCATCTACTGTAATTTGCGTTCATAGTGGTCTCCGTCACCATATCATGAACTCCTTATTACAATCTGACTAAAATTAACGCATTTTAACGCTGCGTATTTTTAACATTTTTTCAGTTTAGTGGGGTCGAAACTATACACAGACTGTTTCTTCTTTGAAGACAAGTAATGTTACAGTAGTTAAATATGTTTTCACATCTATGCCCCAATGTGGCGCTGCGTCCGAACATGATCCCGAGTGAAATGCTCGTTTTGAACAACAAAGCGTCGCGCTGTATTTGCGCAATACTAGTATGATGTGGGCGATACATCCTGTAAGTAAAACTTCGCCGGAAGACGTTCTCTGATTGGTTGAGTGATTTACCCCTTAGGCGATCTTGCGGTTGTTTTATATACTAGTAGTTCCTGTTGTCGAAATGATGTTGTGTTGCCGTTTTTGTATAACATTTCTAAAATGAAACTAATCACTCGCCTTTTTAGTCCATTACTACAAAATTGAACGACCAATAAGTATTCTCAGTCTACACATACAAACTTTATGCAGATTTTGTCGATTTCGCGTGAAAACTGTACTGATTCGTCAGTTCGTTGGTCGATGCCTTCAACGTTGAACGCCACTACCCTACAACGTGTTTTCATAATAGAAATGCTATGACACGATTACAAACAAAAACAAACACTGTCTCTTCTGACTTTTTTATGTGTAAGTACTGACATATAATACAATACATTGAACTACGTCACGTTACTACGCGTAAGGATAACTACGTCACGTTACTACGCGTGGGGGTAACTACGTCACGTAACTACGCACAGAGGTAACTACGTCACGTTACTACGCGTAGAGGTAACTACGTCACGTTACTCCGCGTAGGGGTAACTACGTCACGTTACTACGCGTAAAGGTAACTACGTCACGTTACTCCGCGTAGGGGTAACTACGTCACGTTACTACGCGTAAAGGTAACTACGTCACGTTGCTACGCGTGGGGGTAACTACGTCACGTTACTACGCGTAGAGGTAACTACGTCACGTTACTCCGCGTAGAGGAAACTACGTCACTTTATTACGCGTAGGATAAGGACGTGGCGTCGGATGATCGCCAATAATGGCGTCATTGTTTATATGGTTACAGTAACCACACTAATATTTACACAATCATAAGTTTTAAAATAAATAGGATTAAATTAGCATGTCATAGTAACAGTTCTATGCCCTACCCTATGGTTAACTCTTGTACTGAGCATCTCCATATGATTATGTCAGCCCACCTTTCTCGCCCTTACCGTAGGTACGTCGACAGACATTCAAATCACGCTTTCCATGTGGATGACGTTGTGTATGGAGGATTGAACACCGAAAATAATGCCAAACTGACATTAATGACATGTGCGACTCTCGGAGGTGGTTATGTTTGACCAGGACTGTCATGTAGTCTCAAACATAGGTATAAGTTCTGTAAGTACGGTTATCGCTCGTATGTGTAAAACAAGGCAGGAGTGACATTAAATGCTGGATACTTCATGAAGGTAAAAAAAAAAGAATTTTTACTGTCATGAATTCTGTAGTCTGGTACATTATTATACAGTCTTGAAGCGCTCTTCACTGTATTGTCCGTTTTCTTCTTCTTTGCAAACTAATATTATACATTAATACAGAAGGTCAAGAAAGTAAAATCAGTGTCATATATTTAGTATCGATAGCGGATAGGTTCAGGCTTTCGCAGTCCTCACGTCCATGCTTCGGTACTGTTGGAATATGCAGATTTTGTCGATTTCGCGTGAAGACTGTACTAATCGATTGTTGGTCGACAAATCAACGGTCAGCGCCACTACTGGACGGTCTTATTGTTTTTTTTTGATATAAAAAATGCAATAAAACTGGATAAAAAACGAAAAAGTTCAGTTTTTGCGGAAAAGAAGTGATAGCAAAATATAACTTAAAATTTGTCGTCCATTTCATCTGCTTGAAATAAAAAAAATACAAGTTGAATAAGAACCCCTTATATAAACTTATTAAGATTATCATGTTAATAACGGATTGAAAAGTGTTATAACAGTATTATTTCCAAAAGATGTTATTCATTGTTTACATGGTAACCACAATAATATTTAGACAATCAGGTTTTAAAACAAGTAACATTAAATTAAAATGTCATGGTGTTTGTTCAGCGTTAAGACTCAATTCTCCGCCCTTCTTTGGAAGAATGAATTACGTTTATAAAGTGAACCCACCTGACACTAAGCAGGTTGGTCGACCCTCAAGTTACATATTCAATGCGGATGACGTTGTGTATTCAGGACTAAACACTGAAAAAGGCCAAAGGTACAATATTATACAACACAAATTATATTAATAATTGATTGTCACAAGTTCCTGAACATTTGAATAGTTTTGGAGCATCACCAAACTGCGGTACATTTCAGCCCCAAAAGAATTTCAAAATAGATAAATTACGAGGTTTTGTAAATTGTGTCTGAGTGCGCCATCCAATCCGCCATTTTCTTCATCCTCGTTCGAACTCCGGCATTGTCATAAGAAACTATAAAATGTCTATCCGGATATAAATCCAGTGAACCACGATTTGGTAGTTAGATTGGCCTCTATTTAGACGCCCAACTTTGATTAAACTCTCAAATTGTGTGAAATACAAACCAGCAAATATCAATACATGTACCTGTAAATGTCACCTATGTAACCTGTGAATACTTGACCGTATGTCTATAACTGCATCGCGTTAACACACATCTTGCGAACGTGCCCACTCGAGTTTAATGAGAGAGTTAACCTATGTTTATGTCGCCGGTGCCAAGGCAACGTTTACGTTATTTCAAGTTGGGCACATCTCAAGAATTTATCAACGCTATTTATAGCAAATTACATGAAATGGGAATTTCCACTGTATTAATAGTTTCAGGAAATAGTAAAATTGGCGGTGAACAACCTCGTTCGCCATGACATCGCTGCCAATAATGGCAGGGAAGAGAACTTTGTCACGTAATTCCGACTAGTTTAAAACAGCTTCACGCGAGATCTCACCAAAAGCTGAAAATCCTATATTTCGTGACTGTTTTTAATTTGGCCGAGTGGGTTTTCTGGCCTGATATTCCACAGCCCGTCAAATGATACCAAAAACTGAGCTACACATGGGTGATATTGACGATTTATAAGTATGTACCTCGATGTTGTGAATCTAAGATAAAATCGTTATAACATTATATGTAGTGCCTTGGTATGATTGAGAACGTCTAAATATATCGAGATGTGTGAGTGATACAGAATTGTTTGTTGTAACTTGAGAATGGCTTGAAGTGACTGAAAATAGCTTGCTGTGACCCCAGTTCTTCTATAATAGTGACTGTCGTGTGTGCAAAAAGTTTGTTGTGACTAAGATCTTTGAAGCGGTAATAGATGTGAACCTTAGTGTTTGGTTAAAAAAGACGAAATGTGTGTAATGGCGCATGGAAATTAACTTCAGATGATGCATACGAAGTGGAAGTATGGTAGAATGGAAATTTGACAAATTCCCTTTTAACACGTTCGTTCTTATGCGGAGACCGAATTCGGGCACAATATTCCATTTAGATTCTAAACTGATGGACTGTCTGTATGTTCGGTTGATCAAACCAGGCATTCCAAGCACCTCTGATACAATTGCATTCTTATGGGCGGCCGAATTTAAATTGGTTGTGAGAATGACCCCGTGGTCTTTTACTTGGGGAACACGTTCAATTGTATCGCTGCAAATTTCGTAGTTGTTGCGAATTGTCGCAAATTGACGTTGATCCATGTTGACTTACACAATTATGCCAACCATTTACCTCCACCCCTTGCACGATCGTATGCGCAGATACTATCAAGATTGGTGGTTGCTGATAATAACTTGAGGTCAAAGTTGAAATGGGCAGCTCCTCGTTATCTTTGGTCGACCATTTTGACAAGGTAGGTTTCTCGTCATTGTCGGTTTGCCGTTTGATTTTTTGAGGCTATTATACGAAGAATTGACCAATATATGCTGCCGATGCCAATGCACATGTTGCGTAAAGCGATTTAAAAACAATTCATGGTGATTTATTGGGTCCACCATTAAGAAGGCGGGTCATATTAGACATCTTCAAAATTGTGTCGCAAACTATCTAGCAAAGCTGTCTCACCAGTGAGATTTGATGACAACATAACATTGGTTTACACCGTATGGGTTGACAAATGACCCACATATGATGTGGATATATTTGCCGAGGCATGAGTTATAGTGTTTTCTGTCCACGGGGTTACTTCACATGCCCTGGGTCGTTAGGCAACTCACTAGATCCACCGTCGGATACTACGCCTCTTACGGCAAGCCTAGAAAAAGTTTCGAATCGGAATTGAGCTCCGGCGGCTAGAATGACTAGATCACGCGCATGTACAACTGTATACATTCTCACGGAATATGCTCATATTTCAATTTGTTTTTGGGTGATTTTCAGCAAATAATACGATATGTAAAGGTAAAAAAAACAAAACAATGAACTTCTTCATGCCAGCCGCGAAGTGGTCTGTCATGGAAACTCTGTCGATTATACTTATAAGGGGTTTTCGTCCTATAAATTGCGCCATCTAGTGACTAAACTATTCTGTGACGTCAAAAAGTTATTTGAATCGACAACTTGGTTTGGTTATTTGTCGTTCGTAATTTAGATTATCGTAAAATCCTTCCAACATATCGACGCCTTGAACGTCATAGAAGCTCTTCATCACCAGAGGCGCATTTTTTAAAGGAAAGGTGTATTAGATTTTTTTATGTCACAACTCTTCAACAATGAATGTATGTTTTATTTTTATTATAGTAACATTTAAACACCCCTCAAAATAAGGCTGGTGACCACCGTTACTTTTATCTTATATTACAAAAACTCTCCCTTTTGATAAAATAATTAAAAATTAGGAATTTTGTTACGGTGAAACTGCATAAAGGACGGTGGTCGCTGCGTAGCGCGTACTAGTAAGTATTTTACTCGCGCTGTACGCGTCTCGTACCGATATCGATCACGACGCGTCGGTGCGAATGCCTCCCTATTGTCCATTCCACAGGCTTTTTCCATACATGACAAGCAACCAGAGTATTTGACACCTGTTTTGCGTATGAACCTTTGTATTATTCTGAATTCTGCACAGGCGATAAAGAGAAACCACTTGTACCTACGATGGATCCATCAACTGCGTCAAACTATGACGATATTCAAATCAGTCACGTAGACTTGTCCCTGGATGTACGGTTTGATACTAAAAGGATCCTCTCATCGGAGCGACTGGACATCAAATTATTGAAAAGCTGTAAAGAAAGTAAGAATTTTTTTTACTACGGGAATTAGTGTGGCGTGTTGTTCACTTGACTTGATTGGCTGGCAGTTGGATATATAGAAATCCTTATGCAATGGTCTAACCATACGATGTACATATCAATACGTAATGGGAAGCTGTGAAGGATGGTGAATCTACACGCATTTACTGGCACACTTCCCACAATGCAGCGCAATGATAGTGCATCAACGAGTAGCTTCAGGAATGTCATTCTGTTTTCACAATGAAATGACATAATTTTTCGAAAAATAATGATAATACATTTGTTAGTGAAACATTCAGTTAAAGGAGAATTTGCACTCAATGTTCAATTATCTAGGACATAAAATAGCTCGTGACCTGAAAGACGATGCGGACATTGATTGCCAGAAACGTTTATTCTGCGTGAGGGCAAACATTATGCTACGTAAATTTAAGAACTGCAGCAACGAAGTCAAACTTTTGCTATTTAAAACATTCTGTTCTAGTTTGTATTGCTGCCAATTATGGTGTATGTATAGAAAATCTACCGTTAATGCCCTTCGGGTCAGTTATAATAATGCTTTCCGTAAACTGTTGGGGTACGCCCGTGACTGTAGCGCAAGCACTATGTTCGTTGAAAACCGCACAAACACATTTATCAGTTTATATAGAAAGCTAATTTATGCTTTTATGGATCGATTACGAACATCAAACAATACACTTGTGTGTGCCTTGCTCAATAGTGATGTGAGATGGAAGTCTACCTTAGTGCAGCATTGGACAAATGTAGTCTACTGAGTTTACTATAGTTTTCAAATCTGTATGGTTTGTCATTTTATTTTATTACATATTTGTTTGTATCTTTTTCTTTATATATGGACTATGTCTGAAATAAAACCATAATAATAATAAAAATCGATTATGATGACAATGTTGGTTTTACGGATCTTGGACAACTTCTGAGGTGTATGGAAATATAAACAAGACTTCTTGGTCGTGGTAAAGTTGTGTCGCGCCCTCTCCCGACAACGACAGAGGGCGCAATACAACACTATTTATTTATTTTATTGTATTTACATATTTCCTTTCCCTAGTTATACTCGACACACATAACACACTGACAATACACAGCGTTATCGCAACGAAGCCAATTCACTGTGAACTCAAGTTCAAAATCAAACCATTCACTAGCTACGGAGAAATGGTGCAAATCGAGCTTCCCTCTACGTTTGAGCCTGGAGACGAATTTCAGTTGAGTATCGATTTCACTTCCAGTGATGGGACTGGTGTCACGTGGTTGGATCCTGTGCAGACTGCAGGTACTTTTACGCAGTATTAATCACGTCTATGAACGTTTATTTTGATGCCTAGTCCAATTAGAATTGCACCTGGCACACAAGGTAACAATATCTGAAAAATATTTTGCAAGAAGCATTGGACACTAATATGTACCTTTCCAATAATTCGTGCCTTCCAGTGACGAAGCACAACTATGTAAGGTGGTTATGTAATGTCGTTCAAATAAACAATTCCATTTGCATGTGGAATCGTTCCTTATTTAGAATATAGTAAAAATCTAAAAATAGTATTGACGGATGGTCACAGATGACTGAACAACGTCTCTTTAAATCGTCGTTAGAGGGCGCGATTTATACACGGAAGGTATAAAAAACAAATTTGCGTCGAATAAAATAATATTGACAGGGTAGAGTTATTTAATTAATACATGTTTTGAGTTTTCAGGAAAGGAGTTGCCGTATATGTTTACATCAGGATGGCCAGTGAGAAATCGAGCATTCTTTCCAATACAAGATACACCCTCTGCCAAGATGACGTACAGTGCACGCGTTAAGGTAGTTATTTTCTAAGCTTCTAAATTCAACATGTTTTATGACTCTACTTCCATTCACAAATTTCCGTAAAAAAACTATTTCGTCTCTGGTGGGCGAGATATATTATTCTCGCGATATATTAAAGTTGCAGCGCGCATGTCATTCCACAGGTTCCTCCTGGTTTCACTGCTCTAATGGGCGCCAACGAATGGATTGAAAACCACACCCCTAACGTGTTCGAATTTAAAATGGCATTTCCGATTGCGCCGTATCTGATTAATCTAGTAGTTGGCGACATAGTGTCTGCAGAAATAGGCCCAAGAAGTAAAGTATGGACAGAACCAAATATGCTGGTGAGTGGTATTTGTACACTGTCGATATAATTATGACTACTGCACAAGATCACGGCTAAAAATGGAGGTCGATGTGTTTACCTCGTACTCTAAGCACAGTTACTGTTATAATCAACGCTGGTTGGATTATGGATATCGAGTCTATGGTCGTATGTTATTTTTTCTTCAAATCAGGATTTGAGTTCCGACTCCGAATTATTGTAATCCGCTTAATGTTCAGTTCATTTTATACAAGTAAACAAGTAGTATATAGTGGATATGTCACATACAGTCGTCGTGAAACTAATAACAGACCATATGTTTTGATTACGGAGGTTTTATTTTTAATTTAAATCTAGTATTGATAAGTAGTATACTATAGTGGTATCATGGTAATACAGTCTCATATTCCTTTAAGTCTAAGGCCAAGGCCGAATATGACGGGGAAATAGAAACAATTCTCTGCACAGCAGAACATTTATTTGGTCCGTATATCTGGGGAAAGTATGACCTTTTGGTGTTGCCACCCTCCTATCCATTCGGGGGCATGGAGATTCCGTGTTTGACGTTCTTAACACCCTGTCTGCTATCTGGTGACAAGTCTCTGATGAGTACAGTTTATCATGAAATCGTAAGTAACAATATTACATGAATTTAATTAAGATTCGCATGTCTTGGGATTCATTGGAAGTAGATTATTTGCATCATGCTGCATTTCCATTTCTTCACTATGCTGCATCTCCATTGTTTCACTATGCTGCATCTCCATTGTTTCACTATGCTGCATCCCCATTGTTTCACTATGCTGCATCTCCATTGTTGTACTATGCTGCATCTCCATTGTTTCACTATGCTGCATCTCTATTGTTTCAGTATGCTGCATCCCCATTGTTTCACTATGCTGCATCTCCATTGTTTCACTATGCTGCATCTCCATTGTTTCAGTATGCTGCATCTCCATTGTTGTACTATGCTGCATCTCCATTGTTTCACTATGCTGCATCTCTATTGTTTCAGTATGCTGCATCCCCATTGTTTCACTATGCTGCATCCCCATTGTTTCACTATGCTGCATCTCCATTGTTGTACTATGCTGCATCTCCATTGTTTCACTATGCTGCATCTCTATTGTTTCATATGCTGCATCCCCATTGTTTCACTATGCTGCATCCCCATTGTTTCACTATGCTGCATCTCCATTGTTGTACTATGCTGCATCTCCATTGTTTCACTATGCTGCATCTCTATTGTTTCACTATGCTGCATCCCCATTGTTTCACTATGCTGCATC